AGAGTTGGTCCAAATCACCCATTTCCTCAGACCAGTCCTTGTCTATGACAAGTAACACAATCTTATCTGCAGACAGGCCCTCAAGGCTCAGCCCTGACTTTATGATTGGGGAGGAAGATGATGATCTCATGGATGTGGCCTTGATTGGCAATTAGGAAACTTGTTTTCTAAAGAAATGTGGCCAGAGAAGAAATTATTGATAAGTTTATATGTCAACCAACAGCAGGCATGAGTCAGTCAGGTCTGATTTATGTTTAAGAATCTAAAAAGGCATGGCTTTGACAACAAGCTAGGTGAATTTAGAAACATATATCCAGACTCTACTGAAGAGACCACAGGGTTAGATTCTGGCTATCAAGAATTCCTTACTCCTTTGTCAGAAAGAAAATGTTAAAAAATACTTGCTTAAGAATGGGAGGGGGAGGGGTGGGAAAGGGAAGGAGAGGGAAGGGTGGGAAACCAGTTTTGTGGGAAATATTCATATATATTTTTCCTCCCTTTTTCCACTTTTAGGCCATGTTTTAAACTCAGTGCATGCATTTGAAGGGCTGGGCAGCAAATGAAAAAGCAATACATTCCTTGATGCATTTGCATGAAGGTTGCTTGCCTCTGTTTGGGTAATTATCCATTTGAGGCATGGGCAAAGGAAGGACTTGGGTCATTTTGGATACTTAAGCAATGTTTGGTGTTTGTTTCTTAGGAGCTACTGGGGGAGGGAAGATTTTAGCTATTTATTTGTAATATTTTAACCCTTATGTTTGTTTTTATATGTTTCTTTCTAAATCTAAATCTATGAGGTTTAGAGTTCCAAATGATGGGAGGCGGAAGAGCAAGGCTTGTTGGGTGGTAGGGAGCTTGCAGCTTGTGCTGATAGGTAGCATCAAGCCCAAGCAGGTTAGAGCCCACCTTTGGAGTCAGATAGAAAAACCAAACTGATACTTTATTTTAGGAAGTTTTTCATAGGTTTCAGACATAGGAATATTAGGAGTTACTTCCCTGTGGAGGTATTGATTTATGCTGTATTCATTTTAAAAAAGCTAGGGTGGCTACTTGGGATGTCAACATGTTTTCAGATGCAGTAAGATGTAATAAGGGACAGCCTTCCTGACCCAGTGGCAAGAAAAACCATTACAGAATTAACAGTTCTCCTATTTCCACAATGTGCCAAAAGTTCACATCCCAGCGTTTAGTTTGCAGAACTGATGCCATTCCTAAGAGCTGAGCTCTTTGTTTCTCTTCATCAAAAAGGAGGAGGAGTTCAGACTTTCATCACTCCACTGTATGCTCCCTGGGATAAAATAGTAAAAAAATTTGCAGCCATAGTTCACTTAAAACAATTTCAAGCTCACTTGAAGTCGTGGGGGCCTGGAATGCTAGGTGAGCATGAAGATAAACCCTTGCTACTATGTAGCAACCCAATTGGACCTTTTGGAGAAACAGGTCTGAGTCTGGATTCTGCAAGACATCAATGAGAAGCCTTTCTCACAAATATAGAAATCCAGGAGACTGTTTTGAGTGCAACAGAAGTTCTCAGTATTTGGAGGGTCCTCTCAAAATTCTGCGGCCTTACTTTGATTTTGACACCTGCACTGTGCCATTCCTGATGATTCCATTCAGGATCTTATCAGCGGAGCGGGGCAGAGTCCCCAGCACAACTCTTCTGGATTACAAAAAACAGAAACAAAACAAAAAACACCACCAGGTGATTGATGTGTGTGTGTGTCATAAGTGGAGTGACTTCATCAGGTACAGAGGAAGATTTCTACATTCAGCTCTTTCTGCAGGTTGGAGTTAGTGTAGGGTTGGAATATCTGCTTCAGCTTCATTCCTGTCTGTCATGTCCTCCAGTGTTCTCCCTTTTCTGGTCATCAGCTCTCAATGACTCCGCCGTTTGTGTGTCTCAAGGTAATAAGGAGTAGGAAGCGAAACATTGCAAAGTGGAGCAAGAAAAGTTATCAGTTACCATATCAGAGTCAGATGTCTTGGGTGACACTGAGGAGGACATGGGCAAGGTGACACCAGAGTGCTTTATCTTGTGGTGCTGATATAGTAGCAGCCTCTCAGACATACAAACAGGTTGGATTTCTCACAAGTTTGTCAACTAGTTTTGAGTCCTATCCCATTGGTTTCTGCAAGAAATTTTAAAAGTTCATGGTTTTAAAGTTTGTTCTGGGTGGGGAAATTGCGTGGGGATGTACTACATAGTATCGGGCTCAGCTCCCCCAAGCAGAGCCAACAAATACCAAAATGAGTAAACTGGGAAGCTTTTTCTCTCTTTCTGTCTTCATCCCAGATCAAAGAATCCCGAGTTAGGATCTGGATGAAGGATAAGCCCCTGAATTGTCGATGGGCACACCCCACACTCTGACCCAGCATCTGAACTTGCTTAACAGGGAGCCGGGGCTAAACTGCTTCACCCTGCCTGAGAACCAGGGAGCACAGCATTTCTTCACAGGGTGGAGGAGAAGAGGCAGAATAACCAAGCCTGGGACACCTCCCTCCTGTCTAATTGTACTCATTCTCCTGTTTCAAAAGACGGCAAAGACGTGAGGTCAACTTCTACCTATCTTCTGCTGCTGGTGTCTTACGTATTTCTAGTTTGACCTGATTCCTCTTGTCTTTTGGCTTCGTGTTAGGGGTTCTTGGTCAAAATCTGCTCTGATGTACATGAAGGTTTCAGATTCAAATTCAGTGTGTTTTAAAACAAGTATTGTCAGGTGGGGGAACTGAAGTAGGATGTAATTGCCAAAACCAGGCTTGAGCTTGGTGACTGTTCAAAAGGATTTTCCTTCCTCAGGCCTGGGTCTGAAAATCTAGTACAGCAATACCATGAATTTTTACAAGAAACCCTTCCAGGGAGCCCATGAGTCATACAGTATCCACAGTGAGTCACTTAAAGCAGATGTCAGTATAGAAAACATTACTCACAATCCCTGGGCAGTCTCACTTCCTTCATTTCCATCCCTGTCTCCTGCCCATTTACTTCTATTCTTGTGTTGGTTTTTTGAGGGGCAGGAAGTACTTAATAATCTCAGAGGCTAGGTTGGGAAACATGCTCAGCTACAAGATCTGAATTCTAAACTTGCAGTTTCAAAATGTACATCAGGAGCAGTGGAGAGGGTCTTTTCTAAAAAAAAAGTCTGAAATTTGATTTTATGTGTGTATGGGCGTTCTGTAAATACTTTGGGATTTTTCATTTTTTTTGAACGTGGATAAAACCTGTGGGATTTTTTTCCCTGAAACATTACAAAAACTGTTTATTTACATGCAAATAAATTTCTTTGATAAAAAGTAATATGACTGTGTGTAATAAAATTTTGACCTCTGGATGATTTTCATTTGTTCAGCTTTTCAAAAAACCACTCAAATAAAAAATTGGTCGAAAAGTAAGATCTTTCCTAAGTACCACTATTAAAAGCATCCACTGGAATGTAAAATTGATAAACAAGATCTATGAAAGAGGGTTTTGTTTCGTTTTCATTATATTTGATTAACCTTTTTGTACCAGCTTTTCTGTTTTTTGTAGTTGTTGCTAACTTATTGCTTCTTGCTGCGAGAAAAGAGATGCCACTAGGCTAAAAGCCTGGTTTTTCCCACTAGTTGAAGCGAAATAAAAACACAGTATCTGGGACCAGAGGAGAGTATCTTATCTAGACCTGGGTTTGTGGGCATGAGAATGCATTTTCTGAAGCTAGTTCCTTGCTTTGGAAGTCCTAATAGATAAGAGCTTTCAGCGTTAGGTCAGGAAGACAGATGGGGACCAAGTCAAAATCCAATATGAATATGTACCAGTTCCCAGGATGCATGTATTTGAAATATCACAAATACAACACTAATAAAAATTTTAAAATGGGATCACAATGGATTCGAGCCCCAGCTACCTAAAATATGCCAGTTCTTATAGGTCTGCAGCACTTGTTGCTCTTAAACGTTTCTTTTTTTTGTTTGTTTTTTTTCCGGTACCAGGAATGGAACTCACGAACTTGAGCTTGCCAGGCAGGCGTTGTGCCGCTGAGCTAAATCCCCAGCCCCTAAACGTTTATTTCTTAATTGAATTAATAACAAGCCAATTTCTGATCAAAAGAGCTGTGAAAACTCCACTGCTTTGGGAGCACACAGTAGCACTGCTGTTTCTGCCAGGACTGTTGGAATTTATGATCCAATTTCTAATATTTCATGTTTGGAATATTTTATAGATTGTATTTGGCCAGTTCCACTCGATTCTTAATTCGTATAAAATCGTTCATAAACTCTACCTTGGGGGCCAGATTTGTTAAAAGGTGACGCTTTTGTTTCGGGCATGGTAGCACATGCTTATAATCCCAGCACTCGGGAGGCTGAGGCAGTAAGATTGCTGCGCATTCAACGCCAGCCTGACTGCATAGTGAAATCGTCTCAAAAAGACCCAACAACTGCTGGGCGTGGTGGCGCACGCCTGTAATCCCAGCAATCGGGAGGCTGAGGTAGGTGCATCGTTGTGAGTTTGAGACCAGCCTGGGCTACAAAGTGAGCTCAAGGTCAGCCTGAACTGCATAGGGAGACCCTGTCTCAAAAAGACACACAATCATAACCTCAAAACAACAACAAAAAATCATCTCTCAAAAGGACCAACAAAAAGTTTTTGTGTTTTAGTGTTTCACTTTGTAGTGCAGGCTGGCCTCAAACTCGATCCTACCTCAGCCTCTCGAATGCTGGAATTACAGGAGTTCACCACCACACCCAGCTAAGATCGGTTATACAAAGTCCCAGTCTGCCACTGGCCAACGCCCCCGCCTGCGGCTCTCACACGCTTGTTTCTCCCGCCAAAATGGCGTCAGGCTCGGGCTCTCATCAATCAGCGTGTTGATTGGAGAGCGAATTGGCGCTGCCGCCCATTGGTCGTCGGCGGCACCGAGGGCGGGGCAGCCGAGGGCCCAGCTGCCCGGCCCACCCCCTCCCGCCGACGCGCTCCCCTCCCCCGCCGGAGGGAGGGTGCCGGGCTCCGGCGCGGCACCCCTGACCCGGCGCCCGAGGTGTGGCCCGCCTGCCACCCCCGGAGCAGGGCCGGGCGCTCGGACCGCCCTCCGCGCTCTGGGCCATGCACTGCGAGACGCTCGCCTCCCGGCGGCCCCCCAGACCTTCCTGCAGTCTCCCTTAATGCGATCCACCGGTGCGGTGGCGACATCAGCAGCAGCGCTACCCCTATCCCAAGACGTCCAGAAAGAGGAGGAAAATGGCTCCGAGCAGGGATCGCCTGCTGCACTTCGGGTTTAAGGCGACCGTGAGTGACAGGGGCAGGGGCTGGGTTGCCAGGAGGGTGCGAGTCCCAGCCGGGGCTGCAGGGGAGGAAGCACAGGCCCGGGGACCGGAGCGAGGCGGGGCGGCTCCGCGTGGGCCGTGCGCGCGTGGGCCGCGGGGAAGAAGGCTCCGGCCGCGCTCCTGCCTGGTTCTCGCGGGCGTCCGCGAGCACGCAGTCTCGCCCCGCCCCACAGCCACAGACTCGGCGCTTTCCTGCGCGCCTTCTCCCGGGGGCGGTGGCCTCGGGGCGGGAGGGCGCGGGCCTTAGCCGTCGCCACGCTCCGGCCGCTCGCGGGCGCCGTCAGGGCTGCACGTGGGGGAGGGGCGGCCCCGCCGGCGCTCGCTCCCCCGCCTCCCGCGCGTGGGGGGGCTGTGTCCAATCAGGAGCGGCGTTGCTGGCAGGTGGGGAGTGTTTTTGTTTTGGGTTGAAGTTGAGGCTGAGGAGAGAGCCCAGCTAGCGACAAGCGGTCATCGCGGCCGCGGGCGCCGCGGGCGGTGGCGGAGGAGGCCCTGCCAGAGCCTAGAGGTCGCTCCTCCCCGCGCGACTGTCCCAGCGGCGTTCCTGCTCCGCCGCGGCCGCCGCCTCCGGGTCCCGGAACTCGCGGGCCTGCCGAGGGCCGCTCCGCTTTGCACTCCGCACGCCGCAGCGCCCTGCCCGGGCCGCACCCGCCGGCCTCATGAGGAGGGACGTGAACGGAGTGACCAAGAGCAGGTTTGAGGTGTGAGCCTGAGGGGGCCGCGGCTCGGTAGCCCACCCGTCCCCGGGCGTCCGTCCCCCGGCCGCTGGCGGGATTAGCGCGGGCGCCCTCGTCCCCTCCCCCGACCGCCCGGCTCGCCATTCTGCGCGCAGCCCTCGCCCGCCGCCGCCCCCGGAGCATCTCGCGTGTCCAGCGGGGAACCCGGGGGTCCGGGCCGTTTTCCGAGTTGGAGACCTCGATTTCCCCAGGGCGGTGGCGTGTGCGCCGGGGACGGTGCAGACGGCCGCCGTCCGCGTCGCGCTGGGTTTGGGTATTGTTCTGGTACTTCCTCCTCTCTCCCGTTTACTCTCTGCTCTTGCAGCTCATTGTTCCTAGGAACCCTCGCAAGTCTGCGTGCTTCGAGGTTGGGACGCAGGTCTGAGAGACTCGAGAAGCTCCCGCTGGTCTGTCTCTCAGGAACTTTCCTCCCGCGCCGGCGGTTTACAGTCCTAGCCTGGAGAGAGGGACCGCCTGGCCGAGAGCAGCCTTATGTGGGGAAGGGGCTGGAAGAGAAGTGTTGTTGCCTGCTGGTGGGGTAGAGTATCGTAGTATAATCGTGAACCGTAGTATAATCGTGAACCGGAAGATTCATTGAGGGGATAAGAGAAACTTACCCAGGCAGAGGAGTAAATGTTACCTGGCCTTTTCTGGCAGAGAATCAGGCCGACCTGGGATCACTCGCTGCTCAGTGTACATCTGGGGGTTTTTGTTCATCTCCATTTGAAAGATGAAATTGTAAACCGGTATGACAAAAGTTTCAGGAAACTCACCAGCTGGGAGCAGGGGGTGGAAATCTTCCCTAAGGATCTTCAGTTTAGTCTTCTTATGCTTACGAGGAAAATACTCATCGAAGATCAAGATAGGACGTGTTTAGTGGAAATTTGAATTCGGAGCTGTAGTGTTAAGTTGGGGATGAAGAGTGTAAACAGTCAAGAAATGGGTGGCCGTAGGATTTTCATACAGTACAGTTCAGTCTTGGAAAGTACTATAGTACGTGTCATTTGGTGTTACTTTACTTTGGTGTTCTATTGCCTTAGTGTAGACAGCTCAGTAAGGTTAATTTATGGTGGTCTCATATTCAGTACTGTAGAAGTCCAGAATGTCGCTGAAATTACTGAATAGACATTTGGCAGAAGAGGAATCACAAGAGAGGCCCAAATATTGAAGACTGAGTAGGGACAGCTTTTTGCTGTTGCAAGTAGCTCATTATCATTTTGCTGTTTACCTCAGATTGTTAATAAATGTTGGACAGACTTTTGTATCAGTATGTGCTTTAACATTTCATCGCGATTTCCTATTTTTATAATTATTTTGTTTTGTGGTTATTTTTTGGGTTTTGTTTTGTTTTGTTTTTGAGACAGGGTCTTGCTATGTAATTCAGCCGGGGTTTGAACTCACTATGTGGCCCAGGCTGATCTCAACTTAGGGCAGTCCACCTGCCTCGGCCTCCAGGGTGCAGGGATTGACTTGTTTTTTAATTTATACTTTATCTGTAGTGGTGGCATACTAAAATAAAATTTGTTGCTTTCTTAAGCGTATCTGTTTATCATGATTGTTATGTAACTGGTAACAAAAGCCGCCTCAGTATGAGTTGAGACAGTAAAAAAGAATGAGGGGTTTTCTTTGTATACTGTTAATGATCAAAATGGTTTATGAACCAAAAGCTGTTGTTTTAGTATGATGTGTTCCATCCCACAATACAAACTAAAATGGCTAGACTAGAAGTGATTTATGTTAATGAGTTTCATTATCTGAAGTTTTGTTTTGTTTTGAGACAGAGTTGCACTATTTAGTCCAGGCTGGCCTTAAACTTGCTGTGTAGCGCAAGCTGTCCTCAGACTTACTCCACCTCCCCAGAGCCAATGATTATGAGTTTGTACCACCAAACCCAGTTATCTGAGTATTCCTAAAACTATTTACCTTTTTATTGATCTAATTTATGACAATTACTAGTATATAGGTTTCTTAGGCAGTAATAAACTTACGAAAATTTTTAAAGATGTAGGCTTTTCCTGTTGTTTTTTGTTTTTTTGAGACAGGGTCTCACTATGCAGTTCAGGGTGGCCCCGAGCTCACAACAGTCCTCCTGCCTCAGCCTCCCAAGTGCTGGGATTATAGGGGTGTACCACCATGCCTGGCTGCTTTTCTTGTTTAAAATATGATTTTTAAATCCTTAAAGCTGTAATGAAAGAGGTGATAATTTTATGATTGTAAGCAGGTAGTTGATCTCCAAATGATAATTTTTGTAAGTGCAGGAAATCTTTCCATAGCAAATAATAGCTAATTTCTTTCTTTCTTTTTTGCTAATTTCAAATGGTTATGACCAATACAAAAAGTGAAAGACTTTTTTTCTTGGGGAAGATAACTAAAATTTACAAGTGTGATCTTTTAAAAGTTGATTTACTCTAATCTTTTTGTAAGGAATATTTTGTTTAATATTTTTAGATATTGTAACTGGAGGCCACATGCTTTAAATCTCACCCTCAGGGACAGAGCTTTGGAAAATATTTGAAGTTAAAACCAAGGTAGAATGCTAGGCGTGGTGGCCCACACTGCCTGTAATCTCAACACTCTGAGAGGCTGAAGCAGGAAGATCGCCATAAATTCGATGCCAGCCTGGGGTACATAGTGAGTTCAAGGCCAGTCTGAAGTACATAGTGAGACCTTTTCTCAAAAACAACAAGAAGAAAAACAAACAAAAAACCCCAAGGTAGACAACCTGTTACCCATATATGTCCTATCCTATGGAATAGCCAAAATAAGATAACTGTTGAATAAAGAGTTAAAGATCAGAGGTGCAAAACTTCCCACTGTGGCATTTGGTTTACATAATATATATATTTTATGAATCATGTCAGTTACTTAATTGAAATTCATCCAATACTTACAACCTTTACAATGTGGTTTGAATTTTGGCCAATTTTGATAATTTCCTGTCAAATTTGGTTATTGAATGCTTCCTGCATGCTAGGCAGCAAGCTACATATTTTAACTCAGCTACTTCTAATTCTCACAGTTAAGTTTTTTGGTTAAGGAAGGGGGAATCTGAAAGGTTAAGTGAAGTGTTCAAGTTGTATGGCTAAAATGCTGGGGCGCCCAGATTCCAGTCTGCATTATTTTTTTAAACTCCATTGTCATACTGCTTTGTTTTTAGCATAACTCACCAAAAAGCTTATAACAATATGGAAGATTAATTTCCTAAATTTCTCACCTAATACATATTTTTTTTGTATGTGCTGTCAAAAGAATGAATCTGTCCTTCATTTTGAGTGTATTTACCAGTATTAACACTCAAACTCAATAACTTGGCTAGCGTTTGGATCAGATTTAGGTGGGGTTTTTTTGGGGTTTTTTTGTTTTTTTTTTTTTTTCAATTAAATCTCTCCACATTGCGGGGCATGGTGGCGCACGCCTGTAACCCCAGCACTTGGGAGGCTGAGGCAGGAGGATTGTTTTGAGACTAGCCTGGGATAGAAAGTGAACTCAAGGCCAGCCTGAACTGCATAGTGAGACCCTATCTCAAAAAGACACACACACACAAATCTCGCCACTTTGTACCAGTCTTTTACCATACCAGGAATTGAACCATTCCTGAATTGAAGCATTCTAGCACTGCGCTGCATTCCCATCTTGCCTGCTTACCTACCTACCTATCTACCTACCTATCTGTCTACCCTTTCACATTTTAAGAGTGTATCTAGACAAGTTGCCTGGGCTGACCCTTCAGTCCTTCTGCCTCAGTTTTCCAAGAAGATAGGCTTACAAATGTGTACCACCATGCCCACCTACAAAATGTATTTTTTTTTTAGGTAAGGTCTTACCATCTAGTTTAGGTTTAGGTTAGTCCTGAACTCCTATGTAGCCCAGGCTGGCCTTAAATTCACCATAGTCTTGCTGCTTCATTCTCCTGACTGCAGAGATTACAGGCATGGGCCACCACGATGAGCTACAAAACGTATTTTTGATATTTAAGTTCTACATTCCTGGATGTAAGTTGTTTTTGTATTGAAAGTTTTTATTCATTAAATCAATATTTTTGTTAGAAGGATTCATTTTTGTATTTTTTTTTTTTCCTCATCTTTTTGAGACAGGGTTTCACTACGCAGTTTAGGCTAGCCTTAAACTCACTTTGTAGCCCAGGCCTCCAACTCACAGCAGTCCTCCTGCCTCACCCTCCTGAGTCCTGGGATTACATGTGTGTGCCACCATACCTAGCCTTAAAGTCTTAATTACTTCATTTTGTTTT